AGTGAAGAGGCTGAGAAGCTCTTTGGTCTGCCTCTATGAGCTGTCACTAAGGAACTAAGGACCACGAGAAGAGCCAGGAGGCTTGGCTGCCTTCAGATGTCTGGGGGCTATACTGAGGCCCAATTTTGCATTGCTTGGGCCTGTGATTTTCCTTTTTGGGGGGGAGGTGGTCTTTCTTTTTTCCAAAAGAGAAGCTTCAGCTTCTCTTTATTGAAAGACCTGGCTACAAAGGCAAGCTGGGACAGCAGGTATGAGAGGGTGAGCCCTTCCTCAGAGTGTCAGGGAGGAGGGAATGGAAACTCATAATGATGGTTCTAGCCAGTTCCAGACACAGGAGTCTATTTTTTTGGTGTTTTTGAAACAGTATTTCCTTGTAGCCCCAGCTGGCCTGGAACTCACTGTGTAGACCAGGCTGCCTCCCAAGTGCTGGGACTACAGGCGTGCACCGCCACGCCAGGCTCCTTTGTTGTTTTGAAACAAGGTTTTACTGCATAACCTAGTTTGGGCTCAAACTTGAGTTTCTTGGGGCTGGTGAGATGGCTCAGTGGGTAAAGGAGCTTGCTGCCAAGTAATCCCTGGGACCCACATGGTAAAAGCAGAGTACAAACTCATCGAAGTTGACCTATTACCTCCATACAAATACTATGACATGTACACACACAAAATAAATATTTTAAACAAACTAACAAAAAAACAACCTTGAGTTTCTCCTGATTCAGATTCCTGGCTGCTAGGATTATAGAAATGTGCTGTGCCACCATGCCCACTTTATTTTTGAATGGGCATGGTGGTGCAGGACTATAATCCCAGTACTTGAGAGTGGAGGCAGAAGGATCAGGAATTCAAGTTTATAAGCTCACTCTGTAGTGAGCTTGAGGGCCAGATGAGACCCTGTCTTTAAAAAAAAAAAAAGAAAAAATTGACAATTGATTGCTGTTAGATGAGGAACAGCTGACCTTCCTAAAACAAAGACCTCTAGATAGGCTGACTAGATTCACCAGATGGACAAGTAGTGGAGAATGGCTGGGGGTGACGACAACACAGCAGACAGTAGCAAGGATGACAGAGTATAAGGGTTCTAGTAGGGGGAGGGAGGCTATGCCATCTGGGAAGTGGGTGTATAGTCAAATTATGATGGTTTGAGATGTTCTGTGTGATATACACACACAAAAAAATCAACAAATTTCTTAAAATGTATTATAGTTGAGGAGGAAGTATCAAAATGGTTTTATATCCATACACAAGTGCCAAGAATCCGATTGCAACTGACTATGACTAGTAATAATCAGATACATACAGATTAGGGACACATGTGCCAACATCTCAGTGTTAGTAGCAAAAACAATGAGTCTTTCTGTAACAAACAGTATATTTTAAAATGAAATGGAGCTCTTTTTTATTTTTATTTATTTATTTTCTCTTTTTGAGGCAGGGTCTCCCTGTAGTCCCAGCTGACCTGAACTCACTATGTAGACCAGGCTGGCCTTGAACTCACAAAGATCCGCCTGCCTCTTGCTCCCAAGTGCTGGGACTAAAAGTGTGCGCCACCACGCCTGGCTGGAGAGCTTTTTTAAAGGTTAAAAACTCATTCAATTTTATGTCTTACCGGGCTTATACTGAGTTCAATGTTGCATAACTGTATTAATTCAACAGCAAACCTAAAAATTTTATACCCACTTTTGAAAGAGATGTATCTTTGCTCTGGAAACTGTTATTGAGTATATTAAAGCTGTAATTATATGCTTCTTCTAAAAAAATTAAAAAGAATATTTAAAAAATTTAATAATAAAAAAAGAAAAAAATTATTACTTTTATTTATTTTGTGGTACTGGAAATTGAGCCCAGGACCATATGTATGCTAGGCAAGTCTTCTATGACTGAGCCACATTCCAACCTGGGCCTGTGAGATTCAAAGGGTGGTCCTGGCCAAAGCCAGGGATTCTCAGTTCCGAGCCAGGTATAGTGGTGCTACACTGTGGAGTCAGAGGCAAGCAGATCTCTGTGAGTTTGAGGCCAGCCGGGAGGGTGAGTTTTAGGCCAGCCTCGGCTACACAGTGAGAGCCTCTCTCAGAAAAAAAAGTTAGATCACTCCAGAAAGAGAAATTCCAGGGCCAGATCCTAGGAATTTGCTTTTTGTTTGTTTGGTTTGGTTTTTGAGGGTTCAGACTCATGGCAATCCTAATTCAGCCTCCCAAGCGCTGGGATGACAGACCCGTGTTAAAATGTTCTTAATCCTGATTGGTGAGGGTTTTTGGTTTTGTAGCTGGTGAGGGTTTTTGGTTTTGTAGTGTTCTACCTCTTGTACCTTAGTTTAATCCCAGCCCTTAGATAGGTCTAAAGAGAAAAGGTAGGAATTCATAAACCTGCTTGTTCAGTTGTGGCTAGAGTACAGCCTCCTAAGGAAACTGAGAAGTCCTCTGTTCAGGTCACATTCAGAGCAATTAAATACATTTTAAAACCCAAGTATACATACCAGAGGCAGGTGGATCTCTGTGAGATTGAGGCCACCCTGGTTCACACTGTGACTTCCAGGTGGGCTGTGACTAGAGAGACCCTGTCAAAAAACAATCAACAAAAGACAAAACAAAACAAACAAACAAAAAAACACCTAAGTACATTATTTTGTAGAAAGCATGAACAATCCCAAAAAACTCTGAACAGGACTAAGGGAAGAGATGTGTAATAGGTGTGGGGGGGCACTTTAGATTTTTAAATTATTTATTTTGGCTTTATTTTTACTTTGTATGCATAGAAGTGTTTTGCCTGCATATAAGTGTACCTGTGCCTGCAATGCCCATCCAGGTCAGAAAAGAGGACATTAGATTCCCTGGAACTGGAGTTACAGATGGTTGTTAGCTGCCCTATGGGTGCTGGGAACCGAACCCAGGTCCTCAGCAAGAGCAGCTAGTGCTCTTAACCACTGAGCCACGAGCCATCTCCCCAGCCCGTTGGGTCATTTTGTTTGTTTGTTTTAGTTTTTTCCTTTTTTTGAAACAGAGTCTCCAGCTGGCCTAGAACTTATTATGTAGACCAGACTGGCTTCAAACTCACAGAGATTTGCCTGCTTCTGACTCCTGAGTGCTGGGATCAGAGGTGTGTGTCACCATGCCTGGTTGTTTTGGTTCTTGAGACAGGGTCTCTCTGCTGGCTTGGAACTATGTACACCAGGCTGACTTTGATCTCACAGAAATCCACCTGCCTCTACCTTCTGAGTGCTGGTTGTGTGCCACCACATCTGGCTTTTTTTTTTTTTTTTTTTGGTGATACATCTTATGTAGTCATGGGGCCCAGGCTGGTCTTGAACTTTTTTTTTTAAGACAAGGTCTCACTATGTAGCCGTGGCTGGCCTCAAACTCTAAGATTAAAGGGCACTGCCACACACAGCATTACAGCATAAAACAAACAAACAAACAAATATGCTGAATCATCTTCGTGGGTGCAGCACACATGTGAGTGAGCACATGGGTGTGGAGGCTAGAGGTAGGTTCAAGATGTCAAGTGTCTTCCTCGATTGCTCTCCAACTTACCTTTTTTTTTTCACTTATTGTGTGTGTGTGTATGTGTGTGTGTTTCTGTGAGTGAGCACACACGTGTAGAGGCCAGAGGTAGATTTGAGATGTCAAGTGTCTTCCTCCATTGCTCTCCAACTTACCTTATTTTTTTTCATTTATTTAGTGTGTGTGTGTGTCCGTGTGTCCATGTGTCAGTGCTGATGTCTGTCCTTGCCACAGTGTGCCTAAGGGGGATCAAAAGACAACTTGTGAGAGTCATCTCCTTTCACCATGTGGTTTCCATGGTTCAAACTCAGGTTTTCAGGCCTCAGCGTCTTTATCCACCAAGCCATGTCACTGCTCTGACACACAGTTTTTTGTTTGTTTGCTTTGGTTTCTTTGAATCAGGGTCTCTCACTTGACCTGAAACTTGCCAATTATGCTACGCTGGACCAACAGTAAGTGTCAGAGATCTGCCTGTCTTTGCCTCTTAGAAATGGGATTACAAGTGCACACCACCATTTCTTTTTTAATGTGTATGAATGTTTTGCCTACATGTATATAAGTGCACATGTGCGTGCAATGCCTGAATAGGCCAGAAGAGGACATCGGATCCCCTGGGACTGGAGTTACAGAGGGTTGTTAGCCACCATGTGGTTGCTGGGACCAGAATCCAGGTCCTCTGCAAGAACAGCCTGTGCTCTTGACCGCTAAGCCATCTCTCCAGCCCTTCATACCTCGTTTTTTTTTGATGTTAGGTTCTAGGAATTGAGCTCAGGTCCTTGTGCTTGCTTGCAAACCAAGTGCTTTACCAAATAAGCTATTGTCCCAGCCACCACCTGCCTAGTTCTTTTGGTTTTTTTAAGACAGGCTCTCCCTATAGCCATAGCTGGTCTGGAATTCTACATAGACCAGGCTGGCCTCTGCCTCCCAAGTGCTGGCCTTCTGCCGTAGCTCTTAATTTCATCTATTCCCTACAATCCTTGGCACAGTATAAGTGTGTGCTCTATGCTGCCTCCCATGTTGCCCAGCAGAGCTGGACCCTGGGTGCTCAGCACAGAGACTTGTGGTGACTCACCCTGTCCTAGCTCCCTCATTTCCCTATCTGATTTCTTCATCGCCAGGCCGTGCTTCCTGGGATGGCCTTTTCAATAATAAATTTCTTGATGTAGGATCTTTGTCTCAGGGTCTGTTTCCAGGAAAACCCACAGAACATAAAATGAAAACAAAGTTTACCTTGCCCACTAGAAGATGAAACTATTAAGGCAGAAGAGTGGGAAGATTATGACTATTTCTCCTAGAGGTGGGTGGTGGATTCTGCCTCCTATCCCTGTGTTAGGTTTGCTCATGTGGACGTCAGAGCCCTTTGTAGATGTTTCTGGCCCTGCTTTCATAGTTTTCCTCACATTGCCCTGTTCTCAGTCATAGGAAACTGTAACTGCTTCATAGTGAGAGGCTGGGGCTTGGCCAATGACCAGCTGATGACTTGTCTGCCCCTCATCCTTGCAGGAATTCGCCCCTACAAATGTGAGGTGTGTAACAAAGCCTTCACCCAGCGCTGCTCCTTGGAGTCCCATCTGAAGAAGATCCACGGGGTGCAGCAGCAGTATGCCTACAAGCAGCGTCGGGACAAACTCTACGTGTGTGAGGATTGCGGCTACACAGGCCCCACCCAGGAGGACCTGTATCTGCATGTGAACAGTGCCCATCCAAGCAGCACGTTTCTCAAAAAGACTTCCAAAAAGTTGGCGGCCCTTCTGCAGAGCAAGCTGACGTCCACACTTCGGGAGACTCCCAGCCTAAGTGAAGAGGAGGAAAAAAAGTGAGGAGGAGGAGGAGGAAGGGGAGGAGAGATACCGATGCCACGTTTACACGTACTTCAGGTTTTCAGGTGTCTCCCCCCATACTCATTCCACTGTCTGCTTTTAGTGACAAGCATTCAGTTCACCTCTGTCCTTTTGGGACATCAGCAGTAGGATGCATCCCCAGGTTGTCAAGCATTCTGCCACATCAGACCCTGTACCATGTGTCCTATTGAACTCAGTTGCATTCACAGGTCTGTTTTCCATACTCTTGGTGGCCCACGTCACCGTGCAGGGTTTTTGTGTATGTGTACCTGTATTTTTTTTTTTTAAATGGAATTTTCACACACGAACAGAGGGATGTTCTTAAAGAGACCATCATCTTGTGGTGCCTTGAAATGCTACTGAAGCAAGGAAAATGCATATTCTTCGGAAAGCGTTTACAATTATTTTAATAAATGAAGTGTTCGTGTGAAACGTCTTTTAAAAACAAAATAGTGTTAAGCTTCAGCTCTTTTGTTGAGGGCTTGTGTGATGCTGGGCTCCATTATCTGGAGGGAAGTTGATGGTTCTGTCTTGGTAGAATGGGTTTGAGGAAGCAAATCTTTCAGTTGAGTAGAACAAATGGTTGGTTGGTGGAACGAAACCAGCACCGAGAGGCAGGCTCATGGGCAGATAGGACTTAGAGGGTAGCATGTGAGAACTCACTGTTCTCCTCTTTCCATGCCCCTGGGGTTCCTGCAGAGGTCTTCGCTTTTTGGGTTTTTTTTTTTTTTTTTGTCTTTTTGAGACAAGGTCTCACTGTAGCCCCATCTGACTTGAACTGCTATGTAGACCAGGCTGGCTTTGAACTCCCAGAGATCTTCCTGCCTCTGCTGGGATCAAAGGCCTGAGCCACCATGCCCAGCTCTTGCAGAGGTCTTTGGCTTTCCAAGCTAGGACTTGCTGGATGAAGGCTCAGCTTCCTCCCTGGAGGCTGGCCGTGGGTGAAGCATGAGACAAACCCTGGAACATGAGAAACGAGCCCAGACACGAAGAGCACCTGCTGAGGTGCACCTGCCAGAGGCCAGTCAACAGTAGGCTTTCCTTTCAGGGTGCAGGACTGAGCATGCAGCCACCTTGGGCAACCTCCCTCTTTCTCCTCATTTTGGAGTCCCATTTCCAAAGGTAGGGGAGGTTAATAATCTTATCCACCTTGAGATTCAACAGAGGGAAAAGGAAAGCAGCAGGCCAAGCAGGTGAGGAGTTGGTTTCTATGACTGATGGGCAGTGAGAAGCCCTGTAGTTAAGGCCTTGACACAGTGCCTGTGCTGCTGTCTGAATTGAGTACAACGTGATGATCAGCCACGTCTCATCCTTTTTCTGCCTGTCCTTGTCTGCAGGCATTACCTGGGCCGCTCCTTGGGAAACTTTTGGATGATGTGGTCTTTTTCTTATTTCCTCCCTCTGTATCAGCATCTCTCCCCTTCCTTCCCTGTTCCTTCTCTCAACTTCTCGTTCTCCCCTTCTCTCCTGCACTCTGAGCCAGGCAGTCTGCCAAGAGCTGGACAGTTGAAATACTCCATTTCTCTTCCAAAAGGAAGAAAGGAAGCAAAGCCTTCTGTAGAGCACTGGTGAGGTGCCAGGCAGTGAAATGGGCACCCTCACTGTACAGATATTCTCTAGAACATCTGTAGAACCTCCCTAGAGGTCAGCAGCCCCATCTTCTGTGAGTTAGCCCTGAGGCCTTTAAGTCTAGTTAAAGCACCTCTTTTCCTCATTCCTCACCCTTCCTTCAAAACAGAAAAGACTTCAGGTTCAGCTGGGACCATGCAGAAATAGGTACAAGAGTCAAGGTGGCTGTGGCAATCATTGCCCCTCCTACTTAGCCTGAGGAGGCTAAGACCATCAGCCATCTGTAGAACCCACAGGTGTGTGTCTGGCCTCGCCTGAAGCTCCAGGTGGGTGGGGTGAGGCCTCAGAGCCACAGTCTAAAAGGCTACAGTGTGACCACAGTGGCAGGGTTGAACTTGGGTCTCCACGTGGTGCAGCCTCCCAAGACAGCTGGGACTGAAGGATCCACCCTGATGCCAGAGGACAGACTGTTGACATGTCTCCTGGCTCTTGCCACTGAGAGGCTTGAAATAGGCTGACTTGCTTTCTTCTCAGTTATGCAGGTGGTAATGACAAAATGAGCCATTGGCCAGAAGTGTGTGACTGGCAGCGGCCTGTTTCACACAGGTTCTGTGAAGCAGCTAATGTTCTCACAAGGGCCAGGTTTTTATTAAACTTGTTTGGTTGTGAGTGACAGAAACTGGCTTAAAATGGCTTTAACAGTGCTTTCCATGGTTCTTCCATGACCTGCAGCCAACAGGAAGGAATCGGAGCCTCCCTAAGGAAGACCTGATGGAACTGGGGCTAAAAATTCTTGTTCCAAGCCTGACAACCTAAGTTTGACAACAACAGCCCCCTCCCAAGGACCCACATAATGGAAAGAGAGAATGGACTTTCACATATGACCTCTATTCATATGTTGTGGCATCCACATACTCCCTCCCACATACACACACTTTTTTAAAGTTCCAGTTTAGGGATGGTCAGATCTAAGGCTTAGGTAGAGGCATTGTCTCTTGTCTTTCAACCTTTTCTGCATTTTAATAAATTGAGATGGGATCTTGCTACATAGTCCAGGCCGGTCTTGAACTTGTGATCCTTCTGCCTAAGTCTCCCAAGCACTTGAGTTCACAGTCTTGCACTACCATGCCCTGCTATCTGTCTTTAGGCTCTTTTTCTTCCTATAGTGACTTCTTAGGTAGGCTCAGGTAGATGATGTCCATCCACAACTCTGAACTTGTATCCCACCAGTACAGTAGGGTAGAGGGCAGTTTCCCTTTTCACTGGAGATCTTGGGTAGATTTGGCTCTAGGGCCCACTTTGAGCTATCATTGTGCCCTGGGACATATGGTACCCTACTGATGTCCCTGAATCTAGTGTAGTGATCAGATCAGCTATATCCCTGAGAAAGTGGCTCTCCAGCAGAAAACCAAGGAGTGAGCTGAAGCCAAGGTTCTCTGGTTAGAACCATGGGTAGCCATCTTGGATTTGGTTCCATGATAAGCTGACTCTGAGGTAAACATTCAAGTTCTAGTAGATTAGGAGCTAATCCCAGGAAGAGTCCGTAGGGACATGGGCAAGAATGACAGGATGGAAAGGCAGTTGCAAAGGAATAGAACTAAGAAAGTTAACTGCTGTGGGCAACGGGAGCTCTGGGAGGCAAGAAGATGTATGCTTGAGTGCCCACTGGAAAGGCAGAAGAAACTCCATAAACTCCCCCATCCAGGTGTTTTGTTCCTGGACCCTTGCAACTTGTCCATGCTTGCCCTGGCCAAGTATACTCTCTGTGTCAGGAAAAACCCCCAGGCAGAGTTGCAAGGGTCAGTCAGAGCAACCTTCAGGGCATAGACCTAGAAGCTGATGAACGACAGCCGGGTCTGTATGCGTCTGGAAAGTTCCCACTCGCTGTGTGAAGGCATGTACCACTACATCCAGCTTGGATGTCCACTCTACTTTCTGACCCCCTCCTTATCCCAACCTTGCTAGCTAGGCCTGGTTTGCTTAGCCCACGTTTCCAGACTTGATTTAGGGACTGGTTCTGAGGCTGGTGGCCCTGAAGCCGTGGGTCTGTCAGTGTTAGGGGTCAGACCTGCCCCAAGTCTGCTCAGCAGCACTTGCCTTGGGTTGGTGTTAGGTCAGCACACTGTGCTGATGTTGGTGTTAGGCAGAAGTGCTTCCTGGATATTCATTTTGGAAAAAGGGATCTATTATCCATTGGTGGAATTCATTTTATAGGAGTCTTAGGTTGACTCCTAGAAGCTTCCGAGATGTGTGATTTACTGAAAGAGGCTGTGGGGAGAAACCAGTAAAGGAAGTGAGGGAAGCAAGGCCTTGAAGAGGCAGAAATGAGATGAAGATCTGGGCTCCTCTGACATGTAGCCACTACGCCTTTTCTGTAACAGTAGCAGTGAGCAGCCAATATTCAAAGGAGGTGGGTACTCATTTACTTAGAGGTCTCCAAGGTGGACAAATGAGAGCAGACAGAGGTCTACAGGCTCTGATCCTCCTTGGAATGCTTGCATTTTGATAAAGGACCTGATTTTGGAACTAATACATGTAGAGAATATGATCTTTCCAGAAATATAAGAGAATATGATCTTTCCAAGCCTGAGTTAGTGTTAACGTTTTTTTTTTTTTTTTCCTCCCGCAAAACAGAGAATTTTATTTCACAAGATAGAAGGACCCCCAATAGGATGCAAATGTCATCAACTTTTGGTATAACTTTCCTAAGATTTTTTGCAAATATTTAATGTGTATATTCTTGCTTTGCACTGTTTCTTAAAATTTTAACAGATCATATACTGTGCATACTGTTTGGTGCTCTAAACCTTTTTTCTTTAAAAAAATGATTATTTATTTATTTACTTATTTATTTATAAGACAGGGTCTCCTAGTAGCCCCAGCTGCCCTGGAATTTGCCATGTAGGCCAGGCTGGCCTCAATCTCATGGAGATCTGCCTGCCTTTGCCTCCCAAGTGCTAGAATTAAAGGTGTATGTCACCACGCCTGACTGATTTTATTTATTTATTTATTTATTATTATTATTATTATTATTATTATTATTATTAGGTCTTTTTGAGACAGCCTCTGCCTTCCAAGTGCTGGGATTAAAGGCATGTACCACCATGCCCAGCTGATTTTATTTTTTAATTATATGTCTGTGTGTGTGTGTGTGTGTGTGTGTGTGTGTGTGTATGAATGAGCCTGTGCATGTATGAGTGCAAGTACAAGTGCCTTTAGAGACCAGAAGGGAACATTGTATCCCCTGGAGCTGGAGTTATAGGTAGTTGTGAGGTGCTTGATGTGGGTGCTGGGAACCCAATTCAGGTCCTCTACAAGAGCAATACACCATTTTTTTCTTTTAAAAATTTATTTTATGTGTATGAGTGTTTTGCCTGCATGTATCTAAAGCACCCATGTTGTATGATGCCTGCAGAAGCCAGAAGAGGGCACTGGATCCCCAGAACTGAAATTATGGATGTTTTCTAGCCACCATGTGAGTGCTGGGAATTGAACCCTGGTCTTCTGCCAAAGCAGCCAATGCTTTTAACTGCTGAGCCATCTCCAGCCCCACAGTATGCCTTCTTAACTGCTGAACTGTCTTTCTACCCTGCTGAATTTTCTCCTTTATTTTATTTTATTTTATATTTTATTTATTAACTTATTTATTTAAGGACAGGGTCTCCCTATAGCCCCAGCTAACCTGGAACACTCTATGTCCAAATGTTTTTATGCTAAAGAAATATTTTTTTGAGGGGAGAGGAGGTTTGAGCAGGATCTCCCTGTAGCTCCAGCTAGCCTGGAACTGTGTAGACCAGCCTGGCTTTGAACTCACAGAGATCCTCCTGCCTCTGCCTCCCAAGTTCTGGAATTAAAGGCATGCGCCATCATGCCTGGCTTATTAATTAATTAATTAATTAATTTATTTATTTATTTAAGATAGCATCTCCCTGTAGCTCCAGCTGGCCTGGAATGCCCTATGGAGACCAGGCTGGCCTAAATCCTGCTTCTCGCTTTTGAAATTTTCTTTTAAAAATACATTTGAGGGCTGTCAAGATGGCTCAGAGAGTAAAAGTCTGAAGATATGAGTTCATTTCCCAGGATCCACATGGTGGAAGTTGTCCTCTGACATGTGTGGCATTTATGTGAGTGCACATACATGTGCGCCCCCC